CGGTGGTTGTGCGGTCTGCAGGCGGGGGCTTATCAGAATCTGGAAGCCCCCTTTGACAAGGGGGCCCGCAGATCCCGGCCCCCCATGTGAATGATTATGGGATACATGGTATCGCTACTCATTCAAAAAAAAAGTATAGTGTAAAAAATGACAGTAGACAGTCTATGCTAAGTCCTTTATTAAAAACAAAAATTAAAAAAAGGTCTCTTGAAGTAGATCCAACGTGAATAATGATGTCCGCCTTCATCGCTGACCTGAAAAAAATAAAACAAAAAAGGCTCCGCTCTAAACGCTGGCTCCGGGCCATCTGACAGCTGCGCCAGCTTGACAGTTCTTAAATATCTAAGGGGCGAGGCCACCTGGTGATGTCAACTGGGTGAACCCGCCCCTTGTGTCATCATTGTGTGCTGTGATTGGCCAAAGCATTGCAACTGACTTGTGGTCATAGCGCAGTGCATTGTGGGGCGCAGTGGGCCAACAGCCCACCAAACGCCCTTACCATTCGTGTGTTCGTCAAAACACACACACGGCCAATGTTCGAGTAGAAATTACATTCAACTCCAACATCAAGCCCAACACTATTCTCAACAGACTCAGGGGTATACAATCAAATGCGCAGACTGTGGAGCCAGAACAGATCAGGGCAGCAGGTTGCAGCTCCTCTGATTACAGAGTGAACTATACTAAATTTACCTAGCATCCCTAGCCTATGAGGGTGCTACACAGAGATCACTCAAGAAGACCCTGGAAGACACTTGAGTACAAAAGGGGTCTGGCTAAAGGAACACAAGGAAAGTTGGAATCTCAGTGCCACTCAAAATCTCTTGGAAAGTCAGGGACACTAGGAATTTCAAAATCTCTTGGAAAGCTGAGAAAACTTATGGAAGCACGGAGGTGCTTGGGGCTAGGAACACTAGCTTCTGCTCAGGCAATGTCAGAGGGAATCAGACCTGCTTAAATAGAAAGGGGAGGCCTAGTTGGGACAGGGCATGTAACTGATTGAATCAATGATAGGTGAATTACCAGTCTTGAACACACATCTTGTGGGATAACAGGTCTATGGGAATAAAAGTGACAAGCATCTTTGCTGCTGCTCTGACACTATGCAGGGTCCACTACGAATAATGTACTGGATACAACTACGGCTGTGTGCTAGCTGAGGCAGTTGTACCCTACTGCTGGAATGTTTAATACACTAACTAGGCTGATGCGACAAAGCCCCTGGGAAACAGAATGGAAGTTCTCCATACTCCAGAAATACAATATGTAATGAGCTTTACAAGAACGCTACTGTGTATAGTAAAATTTGCGGTTACTTAACAAAATGTTGCTAGCATAGGCAGAGGATATCAGTAAATTTCAGAGATGTGCTAATGGTGGAATTCCCAGGCCAGAAGCCAGCAGTTTAAGATACAATATACAGTATGTGATAGTGAGATATGAGGTTGGAGGTGGTGCTTGGGAAATCAATGTGTGTTGTAATGGTTAATCAGTGTTAGCAGGGCTGAGATTATTACTTAGAAAAGAACCACTATTTATTTTTCTGTTTCCCAAGGTTTGGTTGCTTGTCACTGCTAAGATGGGGACTTTACAGATGGGCAACTGAAGGAGTGAGAAATGGATTTCAGGTTGTCAAGATGTACTCATTAAGAGCTGTCTATCACTGAGAAAGAAAGGAGTGTCTCATTCGTGCAGTGAATGAGTTCCTGAACAGTCATCTCATGGGAGGAGACTGATTGGAGACAGGTAGGTCTTGACCACAAATGGGAAGTTTCCAATCAGTCAAGGCTCCTGTGTGGAACCAGTGCTGCAAGGGCAGCATTTGTAGCATGTTGGGAGCATATGTCCAGGCCATTCTGGTCTGAATGGATATATAGCTAAACCACAACGACTGATGATTTTAAAACTTGGAGATAAATGCAATCTCTGTGTGCACATATGAGTAAGTGTGAGTTGAGCAAGCATTAGTCTGTGCTTGAGCAGAATGAAGGTCCAGTCTGGACATTAAATGAACCAGTCAAACAGAGAGACTGGGACTAAACAAATGTCTTTATAAAGGAAACATAGAGCTGTGCAACAAATAACCAGAAGGCTGGAAATCATTTACTGTTCTTTATGGGAACAACCTCTGCATGGGAAGCCCTTCTATGAACTTACTTTGATCAAGAATAAAAGTGGGCTTGAAATGCCGTGGGTGGTGACACTGCCAGCCGCCACCCCTTTTCTATCACCCCATCTATCCTTCCCTTCCTTTCTTTTTTATTTTTTTTTTATTTTTCTCTGTACTCTGTCCACTGCGGTGCCTAAGGATGGTAGGGGTGGTAGCCCACTGGATGAAAGACAAACCTTCCCAATCAGTGTCCATGATGGTTACCTCCTTAATTCTTTCATCCCTGCCTGTTCAGCTTGCAGTATACTCTCTCCTTGTGGATAGTGTTATCGCTGTCTATGTTTGTACTGCATGGAATATTTTTGTATTTAGCTTTATCACTGAGGTTAATTTGTACCTGAAGCACTTCAAACCAAACCTGTTGTGCTTGTTATTGTGTGTGCTTTTTTTTGTATACCGAAAATTTGATAAATAAAGTATGTAAAAAGAGGGCTTGAAGCCCTGGCACTTACGTTGGCATGTATATACAGTATACAGAGGATACAAGGGTAGTTCATTGGTCCTAAATGCATCAGCATGTTCATTTTTTACTCACTGGCACTTTGGAATCTGTGTGGTCAACCCCATCAATGTATTAATTAGTTAGCCATCTCCTTGAATGCATGTGATGGTGTGTAAGATGGGTTTGGTTGGAAAGCAGTAACAGCCTTCCTTTTAGTACTCTGAATGCTGTAATGGTATTCCTAACACAGTGCATTCCCAAATCTGAGGACTGGAAATGTTTTGGCGCAGGAGGAGTGAATTCTAGAGGATTGTAAGGAAGATGAAAAAGTATGTCCAAAATGTATGCTGTATTGAAGAACCTTGTTATTAGGACATGAGTAAAATAGCAAACATGCACAATGTAAATAATCATAAGAAATCCCTAACTTGTGCAAAATATATACACACGAAATAATTAACAAGACTCATGATCCATGTTTGTAGCCAAAGAAAAAGGCATCAGTGGTTAAAACAAAACTGCCGAATTTAACATTTTCATGCACACAAGTAACTATTTTTCACATTTTATTTTTTTTACTACGTAAGATCCAAGCCAGGGATTAAAATTTTAATATTCTTAAACTTTTTTTGTGAGCATTTAAATGCTACAAAGCACCTGTATCTATTAGGGCTATTGGTCATTCTGTTTTTGTTTAGAGGACAGAAGGTAGAGGATATACATACAAAATACTTTGACTTGGCGTGCTGTAAGGAGGCCTAGATGGACATTTTTTTCCTTCATACTGTAACCATACATGTGCAGTTATCTGTGTTAAAACATGGTTTGTAGGTTCTTTACTAAAGGATTGGCACCCAAACCTCCTACCCTGGGCTGATAAACACCCACAACTCAATAAGCTAGGGCTGTCAATGGATAGCTTGATATGGTATGTGGTTGTATATACAGATTACATGCTGGCAGTGACCTTCCTACTGTACAGTGAATGGGAACAATTAGGTATGTTTTTTTTAATTAAAATAAAAATGCAGACAGTACTTAAGTGAATTAAGTTAACACAAAAAGAAACATTGCCACAGTTTTAAATAAAAATAAACTAATATACTAAACTATACTAAATATAAACTAATAAACTAAAATAAAGTATTTTTTCAGAATTTTGTTTCCGCAGGCCATGCTTTTGTCCAGTGTTTCAAGTGTAAGACAGAAAGGATGAATATAGGGACCTGGGCCAGCAGTTGGGAAGCCCGACTTAGGCTATGAAAAGCTAATTCAAGCTTATTACTTCACAAAGCTCTCCAGCATTATAGCAAATAACACTTAAACACACGTTAAACAGGTTATTTTTACTGTTAAGCTTTTAAGTAGCAGCTACCTGATAGATAGATGATAGATAGATAGATAGATAGATAGATATTGTAATAAATCCATGCAAGTAGTACAGCTATTTACTTACACTATGCAATATTGTGGAACTGATAACACAGGCTTTTGTTCTGAGAGATCAGTGATATCTTTTTATTTGGAAAGAGTGAAAATATTCAACAGGATTTAAAGTTGAAAGAAGCCACATTAACTAAAGATCAACTTCTCCCCAAAAACACATATACCGAGATATGTTAAAACAAGAAATGTATATGATTGCTTATTTGTTAGCTTATCAGGAAAAACTACTTTACTGAATTTCAGTGCACGCAATGATGCCTGTCAATTCTGAGACTCATTCACCATTTCATAGAAAAATTATAGTGTGCAGTGCCATCTGGCTGCTGACGGGTTAAAAGGAGCTTGGATTTGCTTGACTGCTTCACAAAAAAAAAAAAAACAAATTCATTTTGACAATGCGATGTGGGGACAAGAAGAGCAATGGCTGTTCTGGGTTAGTGGTGATGGTTTTCCTCTACTAACTAATTTGGACATCTGCATCGGACCAAGATCTTAGCATACTTCAGATTGATCGCCATTCAAATATTACAGCTTGTTCTGTGATGGGTGAGAAAGCGCTTAGTGGACTGGCGAAAGGAGGACACCTGAACTCTACCCCCCTTCTCTAATGCAGCTGGTATAGCAATCTACATTATGCAGACTCCAGAAGGAGGAGGAACTTTAGACTTTGCCAGAAAGGCCCTTTGACTATTGGCATTATCTGTTTTTGACAAGGTGACCTCTCCATCGGATTTGGTGAAATTTGCATATGCAAAAATGAAAGTAGTGTGTGTTGCTCATTTTCCCAAAAACCATAACCTGTCACAAGTCTTCCTCCAAAGAAGAGAATGAAGGTCAAAATGCTCTTTTGAAAAGAGATTATCTATTTAGAAGCCCACAGCATGAAGAATGTGTTGGATTTCTCTGAGAACTGTATCAGACACGGCTACTGAGCAGTAAACGATGCTGGGCAGTGAGTGCAGAATGGTGGAGGAGACAGATGAGCAAACATCCCCATGGGCTGTGTGTCACTCAGTTGTCTTCTTCTGTTCCAAGGGTATGATAGAGGGTGTGGTGGTCTTTCTTTTCATCTGGCTGCTGATCCAAGTTCTCCTCAATAAACATCAAGAAGGTGCAGATCTCCTTATTATACGTCTGTCTTTTCCTGCATGCACATTGTCACCAAGTGTTATTACTCATTTGTCTACTTTGGTGCTTTTTTTTTTTTTACCACTAGTTTTATTCATATTTTCTCATCTACTCTTGTTTTTCCCTGTATTCCCTAGTGTAATTCCCTAGTGTATTTTATTGTTTTATTGTGTATTTTAGTGAATGGAATGTATATATTTTGGCTAAAATATGTGTTCTATATCTGACTATGTATCATACCATTTCCTTCTATGATTTCTTCTGTAGTTAATTTGCCATAGAGGTGCAATTTCTGTTGGATGAACTGAATAGACTTGTCTTTTTAACCAGATTAACTATGTTGCTATGTAAATTAGCCCTAGTATTACATTGTTACTAAATTTGCATCATTTGAGCGCTATAACATTACATAAATTATTAGTGCAATAATAAATCATGCAATGCTTATATAAGAATTTTCACAATAGTAGTAATTTTACTTGTCATCTCTAGACACATGGCCTATGGTATCTTCCCATTAATTTACCTAATTTACAGAGTCTACTTCCCACTATGTTAATATATCTTCTCCTTTATCCCTCATTGATTCACAAACATAACCAACGATACATATGGCCCCTTTGGTGAACACTGTTCTTTGAAAACACAGGTCTGAAATCAGTTCTGAAATTTCTACCACAATAAATACCTGATATAGCCTATAGTGCAGACTGCCCGTTGAAAATGCTTACAGGCTGTCATTTACTATCAAACAATATAAATGGAATATCTGTGGCAGGTACCAGGCAAAAGGGGGATGTAGGCTTAAGAGAAGTCGATGAGGAAATTTATCTACGAACAACCCATGAACATAAGCAGGGAACAGCTGCCGACATTATTTCCAACCTATACCTATCTGTTCAATGAAGGGAGAGGGAGCGATGTTCAATCATGTAAAAAGCTTGCCTAATGAGTGCTTATGGATGTTAATGTTATCTGCAGCTTGCTATGTGCTTTAATATGGAGGAAGACATGTAGTAATAGATGACTCTTGTACCTGACACACCCAAACAGTGTCTCAGTCCTGTAAATGCCTTGCAGTTAATTCATCTCCTTTGTACATTTTTTTAACCTCCATGAATATGTTCTAGGTAAATTAATCTTTCCTTTCCACAGTCTATCTAGGAGTAATTACCACTGAATTGTTCTCTGTTGTTGCTCCATTTAAATCATAAGTTGAATCCGTTTAGAGATGGTTTGTGATTAAAAGCTCTTATCTACGCTTTTAAAATATATATGTATGAACATATACCTGGGTAAATAAATAATTGTAGTTAGAAGTTTAGAATATATAAAGAATCATAATCTTTTCATTTAAACAATTGTATCCCAAGCTGCACCCATGATCTTTAATTGTTACAGCTCTTTATTTCCTTTATTTGCTTTTTAGATTGAACCCTCTTATCAGTAGACCAGTAGAGATTAAGTTGTTATTTTTTCCATTACCAGACTCCAATTCTTTGTAAATCACACAGGTAACACGTTCTTCCCAGCACACATACCTTGGGCAAGAAACAAACGAATACTACAGACATGTCCCATTCACACCCCAGCTCTTCTAAATTTATTTCTCCTGGAAGAAGAAAAGCAGCTACAAATGTTTTTGCAACCACGTTTAGACACGTCAAACGCTTGGGCGCTTGTTCATTTCAGTGGCCAAAATATAAATTTATTCTGGCCATTGAAATTAACAAATGTTCGGGGTCTTGACATGCCTAGCATCAACACGCGTTTACATGCGTTTAGGCGCATCAGGCATTTTTTAGTGGCAAAACGCTCCTCTCCTAAATGTGTTGGTTCTGTTTTTGTTTGTGCTTCTAAATGCCCCTGCCTCTAAAGTCCTGCAAATGCCTATAGGCTAACATGAAGGGGCAGTTAGAGGTAGAAAAAAAAAAGTCAGACACCCTTAAAAGTGGCATTTTTAATGACCCCTAAAAGTGACATTTCTGCAGAGAAACTACAGTGGAGCCAGTGAGCTTTTAGGCAGAGCAATGGCATACCTAGGGTTTACTGCAGATGTGAGATTCATGCTCCATGTGGAGGATGGCTCTATTAACTAGGCAAGGGGAATATTAATATTGTATTAGCAGAGATTGCTATAAATACAAAAGTGTAAGGTCAGCTGTGAAAGCAGAACATGAAAATGTGTGTAAGCCCTTACAACAAACCTCTCTTATGGTCTGTTATATACCAGTGTGGCAGAGTTCCCATTTACTCATTGCAGCCACATGTTTTGTCAATGGAGGATGGAGGACGGGCAGAGATACAGCAGTAATCTAGAAGTACAGAGGTAGATGTACTATTCAGCAGGACCAAGACTTCACTTTGATAACATATAGAAGTACAGCAGCAGGATATTACTAAGAAACACCCCCTTAGCACTTTATTCTAAATAAATTGCCATGCCTGAAGTTTGACTTTAAGGATGTCTCTATTTCTCATGGTACAATGCAGCATCATACAGTGGGTGGAGGTGCAGGGTGTTCGGGGATAAAATAGGAAGAAGTTGCAATTTGAATATTGAATACTCCCCAAGTTCAGAATCTTGTAAAGTCCCTCTTTACCCTCCTTGTTCAGCTGTAGGTGCAGGGTCCTTTAATTCCTTGTCCCACAATCCAGTGGGCTCCCACACTCCTCTGTTTTCCCACAAGCCCCTGTATACACCCAGCGAATATAAGCTTCCCTGATTCCCATACTTGTCAGCCTTGAGATACCAAGCCTGAAGAGGAAGAGGTGACTGGGCATGAGATCTATCATCAAGTGTCCGGTCCTCCTTCTCCTTAATCTGGTGTGTGAGCAGTCGGTGTGGGGCACTATAGCACATAGCTACAGAAAGAAGACCCAGTTACTGCAGAGAACACTGCTTCAACTGTCTCCAGGGTGTTGAGTTTCCAGTGTACTGGTCCTACTCTTACAGCCATTCCCTATGGTGTCCATGCCAAGTGTTCTTAATGCCATTTGCCTGTGGAACAAATCTGGGGAACCCCTTTGCCACCTGGACTATCTCTACCTTCTCCAGTCTACCTCATTGTGAAAGAGATGTTGCCCCAAGCGAAAAGCATGTAGTTGCTTGTATTTTACTGTTCAAAGAGTTTCTCTGAGTGTCTCAAAGGCTGCCTGTGCTGCCGCCTAGTGCCTGTGCTGGGAAACCACTACTAGACAGCTCCTGTTTTTTTTATTAGTTGCATTACCTGCAGGGGCGGACTGACAACTCATGGGGTCCCTAGGCAATAGGGGATCATGGGGCCCCTGTGTCCTTGCCCAAATTCAAAAAAGCCTATGAAAAAGGTACCAGGGGCATCTCATGGGGCTCCCTACTGACCTCGGTCCCTCGGGCAGTGCCGAGTTTCCAAATGGTCAGTCCGCCCCTGATTACCTGTTGTTTTTTTGTTCTGCGCTTATTGCATACCTCCATTACCATCTTGTTGGCATTATCAATTTGTTCTGCGAATTAATTCATCCTCAAGTTGTACATCGCTAATTATCTGATTATGTGGCTGATACTTCTACATTACAGTGGAATTTACATTGCATGCTGCCTTACATTGGCTGGTCTAATGACAGATTTACTTTAGTGTAGGAAATTGCCAAATTTCTTCTGCTTCCCCCATGCACACAAACTACACACTGTAAGAAGGGTGAAGAGAACTGTATTCATATGGAATAGGAATGCAATGCAGAACACAGAGAAGAGAATCTGAGACAGAAAAAATGTTTTCTCCTACTTTACTTCTCTAACATTGCCCCAGACATCAGTACAAGCCAGACAGGGATTCTAATCCTTTCTCATTCTATCCAAAACGATTGTGCTAAAAGGTGTTAAAACAATTTAAAGAGGAAGTGATGTACAGGAATTTACCTACTTTGAGCTGTGCTTATTTTGTTGTGTGTGATCTGGCAGTTTTAGTGATTCCGGTGGTGCATTTTGCTATATGTTTGCTCTGTTTTGTTGCTTATAGGCCCAACTGTTTTTTTTTTTTTTTTTTTTTTTTTTTTTTTTAATGACAATATCAGGCATGCTTACACTATCATATCAGTTCATGCTTTGCTTGGTCCAGGTGAAAATTATTTTTAATGAAACAACCCAGCAGAAGAAGGAAAGGGTGCTGTGTCAGTACTGTGTGCATACCATTGTGCCCCAGGGACTTACCAAAGAGTACATTGAAACCCTGTACCACAAGTTGCGCAGTTATCCCCAGAAGTTGTATTATTCCCACGTGAGAGTGCTAATAATTTGTTGCTTTACTGGGGATCCTTTGGCCCCAGATGATGTGATTCCAGATGATTGTCTCCTTGTACTACTGCAGTAATTAATTTATTACCTATTTTCCAAATAGTCCTAGGCTGCATCCATTAGGTTTGATGAATTAAAGGAAGGTATAAGAGCATCTGTTGTGTATAATTGCTGCCTTATCTGCTATTGGAGAGCTTTTCTTTCACTTCCTGTCAGGACAAGAAGCATTACAATCTTTCCAACAGTCACACAGAAAAAAAAAACATTTTTAGTAGAGCAGAAAATAAATGGAATGTCAGAAAATGTTATAATAGTATAACATTGCATTGTTTCGTTTTTTTTGCTTTTTGTTTTACTTTTTGCATGTGTTTGCAAAAAATATGATGCTATTTGGAGCCTGCTGACGAGTACTCTAATGCCAGAGCCAATGAGGAACTGTGGATGGAAATCAGCATAGAGTTTGAAATGAACAGCAACTTTTGCCACCGTGTTCGGTTGCTGGAAGGAAAGCACATTCACATTCAAATGACCTTAAATAGTGGATCTAACTTTTAGAACTACAAGAAGTATTTCTCCATGGTGCTGATGGCAATTGTGGATGGCAACTATGGTTTCAACTCCGCTGATTCCAAGGTTTTCGGAAATTCTTGTATGGAGAAGAGGATAAAAGAATGAAAGTTTAACATTGCAAGTGGAAGACATTTATTTAA